GAGCGGTTGATGGTGTGTTCTCCCATCAGCCCCTGACCTTGCTCTGGCAATAATATGCTTCTCCAGTTCCTCTCTTTCCACAGATGTACTTGATTTGCTTCCCATGTATTCCATCTGACCAGTGAATAGCTGATTCATTTTGCAAAATTCTATCATATAATTTCCGGTGTCATTGCTGTCACCAAGCCCATTATTTTTCAACTGCTGATCTTTCTTCCTTGCTTCCAGCTTTCCTATTCCAGTCACCAGTAATTATCTGTGCATCTTAATCGCATGTTTGATCAATTTCAGAGTGAAAAAGTTGGTCACAATCTTCATTTTCTTCATCTTTGGCTTTAGTGATTGGCGCGTAAATTTGAATAGTCTTCCTTGTTGGCATGTGAATATTATCCTCTTTCTGAGGGTGTTGTCTTTCAACAAAAGTCTTGAAATGTTCTTTTCGACAGTGAACATGATACTGGTTCCTCTTGAATTTGTCATTGCAGGCATAGTGAAGCATGTGATCGTCCTATTCAAAATGCCCAATATTGGACCCTTTCAGTTCACTAATACCTGATACTGAGCTTTATGCGTATCATTTCATTTTGATGATTTCCAACTTTCCGAGATTCATCCTGTATATGTTCCATGTTGTGAATATTGATGGATGTTTGCAGCGATTTCCTCTGAATTCGAGTCATGCTATGCTACAGCAAATGTGCAGGTCCTGAAAGCTCTACTTTGTCCACGTCATTCAAGCGAACTCGATTTTGAGGAGGCAGCTCTTCCTCAGTTGTGATTTGAGTGCCTGCCGACCTGAGGGGCTCCTGTTCCGGGGCTGTAGCAAATAACGTTTGACCGCTGATCACAAGCGTTTCATGGGACGCACGTTTCCAGGCCCTCCCTCCTAGTTTGTCTGAGTCTGGAAGCTCTGATGACACTTGTCTACCATGGGGGCCCTACTGAAATATCAGCAGCTTACCTTCTAGTATCCCAGCAACCCACGAGCCCCCACTGGACAGCAGGCTAACTGATAGTGGTGGTAGTGCCTACAGGTCGCTGGGAGTGAATGGAGAAAGGAGATGGGCTTTGTGATAAAGTGACTTGTACTTTCTCTAGGAAAAACGACTCCACCGGAAGAGCATAGACATTGCAGAGGGCACCTGGTAATGCATGGGGAGCTGGGCGTGGCAAGAGTCTTTTACAAAGCATCAGATCGTAAATCGTTCCGCCTTGGTGGGCCATATATGTTGTTGCAACAATTCAGCTCTCCAGTTGTAGTTGGCAGGCCATCCTAAACAGTATGTAAATGATTGAGCATGACTGTGTCCCCATCAAACTTTATGGATACTAAAATTTGAATTTTAGATCCTTTCTATGTGCCAGTTTTTTTTCCCTTTTAATTTTTTTTCTAGCAAAAAATTGCATTTAAAATTTACATTTAAAAACTGTAAAAGCTATCCTTACTTCGCTTGTGGGCCATAACAAAATAGGTGATGGGCTATCGTTTGGCTACCCCTCTATCTCAATGTGACTCCACTGACCCACAGAGCATGTAACATGGTCACTGTGGTTAGGTGCTGTTGAGTTGACTGCGACTCACAGTGACCCCATGGGACAGAGTTAACTGCCCCGAGGAGTTTCCTCGGCTGCACTCCTTCTGAGAGCAAGCCATCAGGTCTTCCTCCCGGGAGCTGGTGGGTGGACTGCACCCTGAGGGCTCAGCCAAGCACTTACCTGCTGAGTCATAGCATAGGGCTCCTTTGTAACCTGATGGTGGAGTGGAGTTTTTATCCCATGGCCCTTCCCTGTCCTTAATACTCAGGTTACGGGCCTTCATGATGTAGTGGATTAAACATTGGGCTGTTCACTGCAAGGTCAGCAGTTTGAACTTGCCTGCCATTCTGAGAGAGAAAGATGAGACTTGTCTGCTCCAGGAAAGATTGGCAGCCTCTGAAAAGCAGTTCTGTTCTGTACAGCAAGGTTGCTACAAGTCAAAATCAACTCTGTGGTCTCAGGTTAAAAATATAAAATCTGCTTTATGTTTGAGGAGAGATGGAAGGAAAATTATGAAGTCCATAAGAGATAGAATAGAAACTGGATGAATGGAGTGAGACCACTGAAGTTCTCCAGCAGTCCCTAAAATACAAAACTGACTCATGAAGGTCAGCACGCAGAGTTCCTAGAACTTAGATGTCGGAAGTATTCAGTAGTTGGTGAGAAGGTCTTTGGGATTTCACTGCAGAGCTGGTTGGAAAGGCTAGATCAGCCGTTCTCAACCTGTGGGTTGCGACCCCTTTCGGGGTTGAATGACCCTTTCACAGGGGTCGCCCGATTCATAACAGTAGCAAAATGACAGTTATGAAGTAGTAACGAAAATGATTTGATGGTTGGGGGGGTCACTGCATTAAAGGGTCATGGCATTAGGAAGGTTGAGAACCACAGGGCTAGATTCACCCGAACGCAGTGCTAGGCTTCTGTTTCCATTTAGTAATGCAGAGGAAAACACCTGCCCAGAAAGAGGGCCGATTTGATTGGCTCTGTGGCAACACCCCTCGGGTTTGCTACTCAAAAAGCTCCAATGAGGAAAGACTTGTTACTTACTTAGCCAGCTTTTAAAAATGTAGTGTTGGCAAGACTTTTGGAAATGTTGCAAAATACAAAGTATTTTCCGGTTGATCCAAGAATGTAGACTGGGCTTTTGCGAAGCCAGCCCTTTTCTATGGCCTGGTGGAAATGTCGCTGCCCCACTTGGGTTTTCACTGCCTTCTAGAACAGGTCTGAAAAACCGACTAGGTTGGAAGGAAATTGCTCTAATCCAGAAAATGGCTAGTATTGCATATTGCGTAGACTGTAATAATAATGACAACTGATATTGTAGAGCAGGGGTCCTCAAACTTTTTAAACAGGGGGCCAGTTCACTGTCCCTCAGACCCGTTGGAGGGCCAGACTGTAGTTTTTAAAAAAACTATGAACAAATTCCTATGCACACTGCACATAACTTATTTTGAAGTAAAAAAACAAAACGGGGCAAAAACACCCGACGGGCCAGATAAATGTCCTCGGTGGGCCGCATGTGGCCCGCAGGCTGCAGTTTGAGGACACCTGTTGTAGAGGATCAAGTGTTTGGTTTTCTCTTCTTGAGCCAGACGACTCAAACTTGTCTAAGAAGTTTAGCTGGGGTCACACAGCTGCCGAAGAAAGGAAGTCACCTGTGAGCCATGGCTCGGAAAATGGAGCTGATGAGGTTGAATTCTATGGGCAAAACTCTTATTTTATGGTTTTCTATTTTCAACCTCAATTCCTCCTGTTCAAAAGGAGTTTTGTTACATTTGCTGGATATCAAGAAAAGGATTACATTTAGATGCTATAGTTTTTGTCATTGCTTTTTTTTTCCTGTTCAAAGATTTTATTTATTATTTTTTGGTGTGTGTTTGCTGTTTACTAAGTGGGGAAAGAGCTTGAGAGGTGCCAGATGGCTTTAAATTCATTAGCTTTATTTGAAACTGGTAGTTGGCAATATTTAAATGTTTCGTTGAGAAATTTGCAAATTTGTGGTGGGCTGTGATGTCCCTTGCCAGGCTCACATTCCTTTTTCTGAGCCATAATAAACAGCTTTCTAGTCCTAAACTAGCAAAGCGATTTCAAATATTTTTTAAATACCTTGAAATGATGAATCATAGTTTTAGAATTCTCTTACATTTCTTTTGATTTGGGAGGAAAAATAAACTTGTTTGTTCAGTGGCTTTCTGTGGGAATATCCATATCTGATTGGCCCATGTGCCTGTGGGCAGTTGAGGGACGCTGACAGGGGACCTCTCGGTACAAAGCTTTAAGGACATCTGGGGCTGTGTTTTTGACTGGAGCTGATGAGGTTTCTTATGTTTGACTCTTTTTCAGCGAAACCAGCAGCGTGTGTAGCAGCAGTGACACTGGGCTCTTCACCAACGATGAAGGCCGGCAAGGTAATCTTGATCTCAGCCAGAGGTCACAGGTTCAGTGGGTATAGGGAGATGCCAATGATCATGGGAGTGACCGACTCAGATGATGGTGGACGGGACACCAGTGAGTCAGCGATTCTCCAGATGCAGGACATGGGCGTGCTCACTCCCTGGGAAACGGTTGACGGCTGCAGGTTCCGGAGCTCCCAAACATCAGCTAAGTCTAAAGTTGCCTCCTGGAATTTGCCTTTTCCACAAGCACCTTAGATGATCTGATGCTGTTCATTTAACCTTTGAGACACATGGATCAGGGAGCCCGCACCAAGGATGGAACCGATATCCTCATGTGGGCCTTTCTTTTTTTTTAGGTGTTGATAAGGCATAGGGAGAAGGTAGTTATTCCTATAACCTCATTTGTGAACCCATTATAATATTCTGGCTGAAGATAGTGTATGCAAATCTTGCTGAAGTGAAATTACCAAAGGTTAGTCCAGAGCTTGGTGAATAAAGCTGGTGGCTGTTGATAGGGAGTACTTCACTTTTACTCCCTAAACAGTTATTTGAAACTTGACCTTGGTGCAAGGACATTCTACAAAACTCTTGTCCTGTAGATTTCTTTCCAAACCCAGTGCCCCTGAGTTGATTGACTCACTGTGACCCTACAGGACAGAGCAGAACTGCTTCCTAGGGTTCCCGGGGAAGTCACTCTGTACGGAAGCTGACTGCCTTATCTTTCTCCTGTGGGTGGACAAGTGGGTTTGAACCACTGACCTTTTGCTTAGCAGTTGAGAACTTTAACTCCTGTGCCACTAGGGCACCTATAGACTTGCTTCCAAACCAAAACTCATGCCATCGAGTCATTGGCGCTTCATAGGGACCCTATAGGGCAGGGTAGAACTATCCCTGTGAGTTTCTGAGACTCTACCTCTCTACGAGAGTAGAAAGCCCCGCCTTTCTCCCTCAGAGTGGGTGGTGGTTTTGAATTGCTGACCTTGCGGGTCACAGGCCAGGGCATAACCACTACGCCACCAGACTCCATATAGACTTGCTTGGGGCCATACTATGTGCCAATAAGAATTGTAAACAGCCTTTTTGGGGTGTTTTTCCAGTGACTTTATTTATCTGATTTGCTCATGTCCATTTTCCTATTTCTTCTAAACCAATTTCATATCTTCTAAGTAATCCCTAATAAAACAAATCCCTACAAAGGGATTTCTGGGAGATCTACAGAGGGTCTTCTAGCTCTGAGATCCAGGCATCTCCTCTGGGAGTTAGGTGATTGTAGGACAGAGACAGTGGCCATGTGTAGGTTGATCCTGGCAGGCTCCCTAGTAACTGAAGGGCTTCTGGGACTGAAATTCAGGCTCCAGCCTGGTTTGGTGAGCGGATGTGGGGAGAGCATCTCATCCATGCCTAGTGGTTACAAGACCGGAGAAGGGTTCATTCCCATGGAGTTACTGAGCTTTCTGCTTCAACAGAGGGTTGTGGAAATACCTTTGTATCTCTCTGATTCAGAGCCAGCTAGGTGTCATTAGAAACTTCCAGGTGTCTACTCAGGCAGGTGCTAGTGGTCTATGCTCTCATGTCAGGAAAACTGGTGGTCTTTCCATGAATAAACTGGCCCATACCATTCAGAGTTATTGATGCTTGCTCATTTTTTCCTCACCTTTACTATAGTGCTATGAAGTTCCCTAGTGTACCCTTATTAAAGTTCTTGGTGTATAATGAAAACCAAACTCATTGCCCTCGAGTCAGTACTGACTCATAGCAACCCTACGGGACCTGGTAAAACAGCCCCTGTGGGTTTCTGAGACTGTAACTGTTTACGGGAGTAGAAAGCCCTGTCTTTCTCCCTGGGTGGTTTTGAACTGCCGACCTTGTGGATCATAGCCTATCGCATAACCACTAGAAAAAGGTATGTGCCTCCTACAGGAGATTAAATGTGGGGCCTTGGGAATATCTTGTCGGTAATTAAGGATTCCATGGCTTATGAAGAAAAATGACAGCAAATCCTCTGTAGCCCCCGCCCCCTTCACTGCTTGAGCCCCACCGCTTGTGGGGAGACTGAGCTGCCCAGCCCGGTGCTCTTTCCTGCTTCCTGCCTGTGCTTAGGCTGGCCTCTGTCTCTGAGCTCAGCCCCACCTTTCTGAGGATGCCTGGTCACCCACCAAAACGCAGTTCTCCTGTGCCCCCTAGAGCTGCTTTCCACTCTTCCCTGTGCCAAGTCCATGTGAGGAGCTGCATCTGTGGGTCTTTTTGCTCTCAGCGGCTTTTTGTTTGGTGTGGCCGGTAGAAGGCACCAGCAGAGGAACGGAGGGAGGGCCGTGGGTGAGACGGGTGTATTAGTCAAGTTTGGCTTGTGATGGTATGACGGAAGGACCCTGTGGGTTTCTGAGTGTAACTCCTTATGGGAGTAGAAAGCCCCCCCACTCTGTGGAGGAGCTGGTGGTTCTAACTGCCGCTCTTGGGGTTGGCAGCCAAACTCATCACCACGACACCACCACGGCTCCCTTAACAGTCCCCAAATATCAGTGGCTAGCCACCAGCACCATTTCTTCCTTACGATGGGGCTGTGGGTTGACAGTGGCTTCACTGTGCTTACCTGGCTTTAGGGGTCTGTGGGCTTCAAGTTAGGCTCAAGGGGTCAGTAGCAATTTGAGGCTTGGGCTTCTCGTGCTGGAGGTGACACACGCTAAGAGACCAAAGCACGGTTGTATACTTAACGCCTTTCTTGGATGCTGTCTTCTCTAATAGTCTCTTCTCTAAAGGAAGCCCTAGGTGGGAAGACCCTGGGAGAGCATGCAGAGTCCCCTGGCAAAAGGCAGGGCTTGGGCTTAGGGAGTGAAGTCCCAGCCAATTCTGTTGTCGGCCACATTGGTTTGGGCCAGTCCCCTGTTCCCTTTCCATTGGCTGCCGATTGGGATCCTCTGCTGAGGGCCCAGCTAGCTCCAGCCCACCCTTCCTGTCTTCCCTGTCTTCCCTGGGCCCTCAGGCCTAGGAAGGGTAAAGACTCCCTGCTGCTTCAGGGTGCTGCATCACCCCTTATTGGTTTCTCTTAATGATGTCGATCCCTTTGTAAATAGTCACTCCATTAAAGTCTCCTCAATTACCCCATTTAAATGTGCCATCTGTTTCCTGAAGGAATTCTGGCTGGCAGACTGCGCTTGGGCGGGTGGGCAGGCAGGCAGACAGGCATCTCTGCCTTAGTCTCTCTGTTCTTGTGGCTGCCTGCACCTCCTGCTTTCCTGTCCCCGATATCACACACTGGTTTGTGGCTGTGTGTCTTTTCCTTGAACACTTTCCAAGGGAGGAGGTTGTAGTATTAAATAAAATTGCTCGGACGGAGGGTGAGGGAACCAGCCCCCACCCGCTGATTACTCCTACGAGTTCAGTAATACTACCTCTGGGTTCAGTAATGCACAATTGTACGGTTGAGATA